CCGGTCGGCGGGTACGACGAGTACCCAGACGACGGCGGCGGGCTGCCTGCGGGGCGCCGGGCGGGGCGATGTCTGGGAGGAGGAGGAGGAGGAGGAGGAGGAGGAGGAGGAGGAGGAGGAGGAGGAGGAGGACGCTGCGGAGTTGGAGGAGGAAAAGGCGGAGGAGGAGGAGGAGGAGGAGGAGGAGCCGGCGGCGACGATCGGGGGCGGATGGCCCAGGGGGGAGCCATGCAGTCAGCCCGTGCCCGCCGGCCCCCTTGCGGGGCCATCTGACTACCTACCAGACCACCCCAACCCAACCCGAAGACCCCCATTTCGGGCTGGGGATGTACGGGTTCCACCCCTGCTTTCTCAAGGTTCCCCGACATCCCCCCACCCACTGGAAATGGAGGGCAAATCGGGGCCTTTGGGTTGGGTTGGGGTGGTTTGGTGGGCGGTGACCATCAGGCTCCGCGGCTCAGGCTTGCTGCTCCCTGCTCCGGCTCCAGTTTTAGAAATCAAGAAATCCAACCATATAATAACAATTCCGACACGCGAAGCCGTTTAATAAACGCGCCCAAAGAAGGAACCGACAGGGCAGGGCGGTTTAGTAAACGCCCAGGGCCAGTCAGTAAACGCCAATTGTTTGGTCCAGGTGGTTTACCTCCATTGAAGCTTTCCGCCTCCGATGTCACAATTCTGTGTTCTGCTTCATGCTGTGAATTGTTGAAGTCCGCGCGACGAGGGAAGCCGAAAACCGCCCTGGTTACCTTCACATGGGAGGGTCTCAGAATTTCTGGGGGGCCCTGGGACACATAAAAAAATATATGATATTCGCGCCCCCGAAGCCATCTTCCTTTTCTGAATTATACAAGATTCGCGTCCCCGAGGCCATAAACCCTCGCGAAGTATGCTATGTTCGCGCTCCCGAGACCACCAGTTTGCTGTAGACTGTCCCCGAGGCAATACTCTCTCGTAAATCACCTAATATCTGCGCCCCCGAAGCCACGATCCCTGGTAGAGTGATACGCGTGATTCGAGTGACCGTCGCCATAAGACCTCGTAGAGTACGCGGCACTCGCGCGTTCGAGGCCACGGTCCCTCATAAATGGCCCCCAAGACAGCACAAGAGGCCTCCGAGACGGCCCAGGAATGCTCCAAAGGCGCCAAGGACCGTCCCCAGAGGGCCCAGGGGGCCCCCTATGAGCGCTCCAAGAGCCGACGCTGCTCCACGACGGCGCCCAGGCCTCACAACATAGCTCTTGCATGCCCCATTATCCGAGAGATGGGGCCAGCGGCAGGGGGCGAAGTTTTTACGGTTCAGGACGCGCGATAAGGACGCAAGGGCCTTGGAAGGCCATGCCGACACATTGCGAGCGGGGCGCGGCCAGCGAAAGCGGCCGAGGATGGGCCGACGGGAAAGGATGCAAGGGTAACCTTGGAAAGTCGCTCATCCTTACCATGCGGGTTGACTGTGCATCTATCGGCGACGACGGTCCATGTCTTCGGCGAAGCTCCCTGGCGAATACGTGTCATGCCCGCCCCTGGACGATTCGCCCGTCGTCGCTTCCGCAGACGGAAGGCCCGGACGGGCGTCCGTTTCGACCCGGCGCGATCCAAAAAAGCCCGTCTGGAGGGCAGTTGTCAAGCGGCACACCTTCGGCATGAAGATGTTCTGCGCTGCAGCACTGTGTTTCTGCGGCGGCTGGGACAGACAAAAATTTTGGCCACCGCGTCAGCACTGCAGCCAGTGTGGCGTAGAGACTCGGCGTGTCACTTCAGTTCACGGGGGGCCATGCATCCTCGCGTCCGGGAGAAGCCACGACCGATTGGTTTACAAATGTTCAGCATCCAGAGGCCTTACCTAGCCCCGGGACCATCGCAAACCAGCTCGGGATGAAAACAATCCTGGGGAAGGGGTCAAAACCTCGAGGGGTCCACGAGGTCGGGGGTCTGACAGGAAGGAGGATGTCAACAAAGGCGGTGGCAAAGTGAGGCGCGCAGTGGTCACATGTGCTGTTGCTGGTGTGTGCCGACAGGGGCATATTTCCACCAAGGCAGGTAGCTGAGCAGCGATAGATATGTTCTGGGTCCCTTCCCTTCCCACGCACCAGGAAAGGAGGAGAACGTGGGATTGTGACGGTCCTATGCCAGGCGAGGAGAAATGCAGAGCGACGGGCTGAGGTGCAGGGCCGAGCAAGTGCAGGGACAGCCAAGACAGGGCAGAAAAAAAAGGAATTGACTACCAGCTGGAGACGCTACCAGCTGGAGACAAGACCGAGTCGAGACAGTGGTGACAGGGCCGAACGAAGGAATTCGGCGACGGGCGACGGCACGAGGCCGAGCGAAGGAAATGGGCGAAGGGCGAAGGCAAGACCGAGCCAGGGACAGCTGGGACAAAGCCGAATGAAAGTGATGGGCGAAAGGTGGACGCAATTACTCAAAGCACAAATAAGAGGCCCTCCGTCGCAGCCAACGCATGAGGATGCGCGTGGGGCAGCTTCAGCCCTTGGGCCGGAGTCCCTCTGATTGGCATGTGGTCCTGGCTCGCCACTGAGGCAAGGTGAGGCAGTTGCTGTTCTGCACCTGATTGCTCAGACTGGCGCTTGTGATGTCGTGCCCTTCGGCCCTGTCACAGGGGGCTCGCAATGTCCCCACACTTCCAGCAAGAGGGTTTCTGCATGCTTAGGGTCGAAAATGCAGGGAGCTCATTCGGCTCCGCCGCTGAGCCGTGGCAGGTTCTCCTTCCGCTTCGCTCCCTCGTTCGGGAACGACTGGGTAAACATGGAGACCCTGGTTTTCCGACTCCAAGCGGGATCATGCCGCGCTCTCGGGAGATCGCCAAACCGACGTTGCGAGTTCGTCAGGCTGGAGCGGATGGTCTGGACCGTGACTGGTTGCGCGGTCGGCTGGCAGGACTTGCCCGCGCCCCGCGGGCGGCCCGTTGGTTGCTCTCCGTCTCGAATGAGGCGTCGGAAATGGCCTCGAGCTGCGCTTCTGGGGCGCCCGAGGATGCCATCATCTGTTGCTCGGGTTGTACCGAGGCAACCAACTCTGGCGGTGCTCTCATCGCGTTCGGCTGGCAACATGCGCGTACGAGAGATATAGCCCTTGGGCAGAAGTCCATCTTATTGAGCACGGGCTTGGCTTGCTACTGAAGTCGGCCAAGTTCCTTAAAAATCTCGCGATTGATTCTAGCCGCGACGACGAGGTCAGCCGCGGACGGAAAATACCGTAAGCAGTTGACCTGACGACGACGACCACGACGACGACGACGACGACGACGACGACGACGACGACGACGACGACGAGAACGACGGACAAGCGCGCGCGACATGGCGCACTCATTTCCGTCCCACGCCGCGCGAGCCGCTGATGCTGCGGCGGCGAACCGCCCCCTGCCCGAGCAGCAGCGAGAGCAGGAGCAGAGGAAACAAATATCCTAGCGAGGGACCCAACCATCTGTAAATGTGAATGTGAATAACGCGTTGTGGGTGCCGCTTCCGGTGGGCCACGCAACGCGTGACGGGGCGTGCCGTAATGGATGGGGGGGACGCATGCGGGCGGTCCCACTGGGACCTTCGGTGGAGCTCCCTGCGGGGCCACGACGCGCTGTAGTGGGCTGTGGAGACGCATGCGGGCGGTGCCACTAGGGCTTTCGGTGGGGCCCCCATGTTGGGGCCACGAAACGCTGTACTGGATGGGGGGGGCGCATGCGGGTCCCACTGGGACCTTCGCTGGAGTTCCCTGTGGGCTCACGAAACGCTGTACTGGGTGTGGCGGACGCATGCGGGCGGTCCACCTGGGGCCTTCGGTGGAGACCCCCACAGGGCCACGAAGCGCTGTGCTGGTTGTGGCGGACGCATGCGGGCTCCCCCACTGGGGCCTTCGGTGGAGCTCCCTATGGGGCCACGAAGCGCTGTACTGCGCGTGGCGGACGCATGCGGGCACCCCCGCTGGGGCCTTCGGTGGAGCTCTCTATAGGGCCACGAAACGTGTGAGGGATATGCCAAAGTCAGGGGGGTGACGGGATGGAGGAGGAGGAGGAGGAGGAGGAGGAGGAGGAGGAGGAGGAGGAGGAGGAGGAGAGAAGGAACGCGGGGACGTCTCTTCAAATCGAGGACCCAACACCACAGGATGGTTGGGAACGAAGAGGAATGGAGGGGAGGCCAAGACGGACCAAGGGTCACCCAAAACAAAGCGGCGCTACCGCCCAAAGCCAACATGTGCCACAACGCGAGGGACACCACAGGGGGAGGCCCAAGAGGCCACCGTGAAGGCCCCAGAGTCACCGCCCAGATGCACACAAGAGTCCTCGAAGAGGCCCCTGAGAGGCTTCCCACGAGCCCCGCATATACATCCAAGAAGCTCTTGACCCACTGGATACCTGATACCTTCCAAAATCGTCGCAAGCACTCGCTCCTTCTAGGGGGCCGTCAGGATAGCATAAGCCACTTGAGTAAACACGCCACAGCCAAGGAGGGGAAACACAAGGGAAGGAGGACGAGCGAAGGAAATTGGCGCCAGGCGAAGGCCGGGCGCAGTCGGCGACAGCCGCGTGAAGGAAATGGGCTTCGGGCAAATACCACGGAGTCGTGGGGAGAGTTCAGGCGAGAACTTGGAACAGCCAAGGAAAATGAGACCAGCGCGTTCCACTACTCGCAAAGTCGCTACTCGCAAATGGTCTGGATCCGCCGCAGGGGATGTACGATACATTACACAAAGGCAGACGTATGGTTCTTCGGCAATTTGCGAGTAGTGATACGCACTCGGCAGAACCATTCAAAAACTGTGAGACTCGGCACCGGGGTCCAGCTTGTGTCTGCACAGCAGCTGGGTGGCCGCCGGCCACGCGCTGACCTTCGCCTCGGGCACGCTTCGAGGAGGCGAGGGAGCATCGTCCTGGCACTGCGACGTCCACACCAACTCGCGGAGTTCCAAGTTTGCGGTTGGTGGCCACTTCAGTTTCCACGCAGCTGTCAAACTCCAAGTGGGCCCCCTCAGCGCCGACCTCGACTCCATCAGATGCCAGTGGTCAATCAGTGACTTCACATTTGTCGATCGCCT